AAAGGTAAATGGACCCCTGACCATTAGGTCCAGGCGTGGCCAACTCTGGGGTTGTGGTGCTCATCTCGCTTTATTGGCCGAGGGAGCCGGAGTACAGCTTCCGGGTCATGTGGCCAGTTTCTGGTGAACCAGAGCAGCACATGGAAACACCATTTACCTTCCTACTTGAGCAGTACCTATTTATCTACTTGCACTTTTATGTACTTTCGAACTGCTAGGTTGACAGGAGCAGGGACAGAACAACGGGAGCTCACCCCATCGCGGGGATTCGAACCACCGACCTTCTGATCAGCAAGTCCTAGGTTCTGTGGTTTAACCCACAGCGCCACCAGCATCCCGTTGTAAGTCTGTACCGGGCCTCAAAAATGATGTTTGGACTTAGACTGTCTAGAGATGGAAGGGTCAGGTGGAGGGGCCTGATGGCTTGGGATATACTGCGTCTCTTCTCTGACAGAATCTGGCCATCTACTATTTTTTCAGCCCTCTGATGTCATTGGGTAACTTGAAACTTGAAATGGACAGGTGGTCAAAAAGAATTCCCTTTCCTCTACTGAAGCTTCCAAATAGGTGCAGTTGCTGTTGATTCTTGGCGAAGCACAAGTTCCACAGTTCCATTTTAATCATTAATGCTGTCCCACAGTACATGCCCAACAGATCTGCGATACCAGAAAATGCCTACACTTTAAGCATTTATTTGCTGTACCTAGCAAAGCTTAGAATAGTCAGGTTAGTTTCGCAAGTGTAAAGACAAGATAGATTCAAAAAATAAAACAAATAAAATAAGATCCATTTTCCACAGCTCCCTATAATAAAGAACTTCAAAATGCAATAATCCCTATCAACATTTTAGTGTCAATAGGAAGGATCATCAGTATTTGTAGCCTATATTGAAATGATGGAAGAATGATAGAGCATATTAACTTCCACTTTTCCCAAGACAAAGGCAACTCACAATGTTGCTATTTCCATGGAAAATATTTGCCTAGCCTTTAGTCATCATTCCCCACTTTGGGCCATTAATTCATGTATGTCTAACAAAATCAGGGAGAGTTTGTGACAGCATTTGTAAATTATAAATGACCAAGGAAATCATTACAAGATGACGAGTCTGTCCTGCCGTTTCCTGCATTGTTCATAATACATTACGCTGTGACATTTATAAAAATGAAAAACAAATAGAAATTAGATTTAAGTCCGAAATGATTAATCATATAAATACTATTGAACTATTTTTAAATTAACTGTTTAAAAATACATAATTTATTTGCTCTTAAAATGCCATTACTTTATTTTATGGCTATTCATAAATTAACTATTGAACCAAAATGACTTTTCACTTTCTGATTTCAATAATTTCCTCAACGACTCTGAAACATATGTACTCAGGGTGTTCCCAGCTACTGTTATTAACTCAAATCTAGTCTCACCACTAGCCCTTCAGATATTCAGCATGGCTATAAAACTGGCATCTGAGAAGATCCATTCAAATCTGGCCCTCATGATATACTACTCTCCTATTAGTTAACATGTAGATAAGATGCAATGTAAATTGCAGCCCTTGCCACTTCCACCTTCACAACTTCCCTGTAAGTCAGATGACTACGGTTCACAAAGTACACAGAGGCAAAATTCTTCCTAATTAGCCACACCGGGCATCAGATGCCACCTACCCATCACCCACCTCCCCAGGGCACAAGCCTGGGCAGTATTATGGAGGTCCTGGGCTGCCAAGACAACAAGGACCCCACCCCACTTGGCGTCACTGATTTGGTCCAAAGGAAAGCAGAGCAATATATCTACAGCAGCTTAGCTGCATTAGTTGCCAGAAAGACGCATACAAGGCACCATCCAACCATCTGAAGGACTCCACTCTGGATATGTCTACGCAAAGGTTCACTCCTTAATCTTCACTTCTCCTGAAGATATCCCGCAAGGCAGCGGAGGTTTAGGATCCTTCTCCTAGATGGGCTACCTTCCCAAGTTGACAAGCCCCATCTGCCCTCATCTCCCTCTACAACACATGCAGAAGCCGCCTTCTTGGCCATTGGACCCACTATTGGTCTTTTCTGCTCAATCTGCTGGAGCCTGTCTTTGCATGCCATTCCCGCTGTCTCATGCTGACAGCTTTTAGGAGCCACAGGTGAGAGCTGAGTGCAGGGTGGGGATCAAAGGTGGACAAACTACCCCAGAGGGAGCACAGCATGTCCCCCACCAGAGTTGCTACTCCTCCCCTAACAACCCATACACCCTGATCATCATTGTAGTCTTACGATGTTTGGAGGGTCACAGGTTCCCCTCCTTAACAGGGTGTGCAATAAGATATGACCAGATAGCAAATGTTAGCATCATGAACAAAAATCAGCTGTAACTAATGAAAGCAACAAAAATTATGAAGATGATGATGCGCGTGTGTGTGTGTGTGTGTGTGTCTGTGTGTGTGTCTGTGTTTGTCTGTGTCTTAAAGGTAACAGGGGCCTTGGGGGGAAATTGCAGCAACAATCCTATTTAAAAAGTAACTTTTAAATCCTTCCACTGCAATGTAAATAATTGCAAACAGATTTGTCACACAATGAGATAAAGCAGAAACAATTCTGAAAATATTGATCAAGACCAGGCTTCCTCAACCTCGGCCCTCCATATGTTTTTGGCCTACAACTCTCATGATCCCTAGCTAGCAGGACCAGTGCTCAGGGATGCTGGGAATTGTAGTCTCAAAACATCTGGAGAGCCAAGGTTGAGGAAGCCTGATCTAGACCCCACAAATCCCATCAGAGGCCACCAACAGATGGCACAAGTGACTGACACATGAATAGGCTTGCCACTTCATTTTCAGCTGCATAACAAGAAAACTTTCAGCAGCTCATCCTCCATCAATTGCCTCATCACCACATTGAGGCAAGCATCTGTCATGTGGAATTTACCAATGTTCCTGGGTGGGGCGGGGTTAGTGGCGATCCTACATGCAGTTGGTTGGTTCGGGGGGTGGGGATACCCAGGTACCTCAGGTAAGTGAGTCAGGCCACATTGGCATATGGTAATGTAAGACACAAGAAATTCGGTTTCAAGAGGGGATAACAGAAAGCAGAATGGGAAGAAGAGGGGGTTAAATATGCGTTGGAAGTGAAATGTTGCCGACATTAAAAATCACATTTTTTAAACTCTGCTCGGCCTGGAATAGACAACCTTTCTCCATCTTTCAAAAATATATTAGAGATATCAAAGATGTGGTTAGGCCCTTATTCGCTTGAATATAAACTTCTATAAGATCATCCATGACCGATCTCTCTCGCTCCCTCCTGCACTCTCTGTGTGTGTGTGTGGGTTGACTGGCATCTCTATGGATAATTAGCCTTTCATTGAAGAAATCTATAACCAGGGTGAAGTATGTCCACTTGGGTGACCAGCAAATCAGCTCTTACGGGGACAGGCTATGAGTCATTTCACTACAATCACCAATCTTAAATCTTCTGGTCTAATTACTGCCTTGCCCACATCACCAGAGCAGTAAACACAACATCTGAGTGATTCTAGCTCCCACTTAATGAGCCATTAAAAGGCTCATCAATAATTTCAGCTATGAAATATTTGGCAACTAATCACTCTAATAGGGCAACAGGCTTACCATCTTCGTGTAAAATAATGTAATCAAAGCTAAGTGCTGGAGTTCATGTTTGGTGTAGGACAGAACTTGCATTGCATCATTTTCTGCTGCAAGACATTCAAAAGCCTACACGTTTCCTTCAACAGTAACTTTCTCAAATTGTCCACTGTATTTCACAACACTGTGCACAGAATGGCTGCGCTGTAATTTGCCGGCTAAAAAGGGTAGCAACTCTATTAAGTTAGGTGCGGACAGCAGTGATTTGATGCACAAGATAAACAATTAAACTAATTGTGCATTTGAATTGGCACTACATTTAGAGAAGAAACTGTGCCTTCGAGTGGGAAGCATAAAACGTAGTTAAAGTTATTATGGATAATAATACACACACACCACAGTAAGTTGGATCTCAAAGTGAAAACCATATTGCCAGTTTTGCAGATAAGTGTCCTGAACATGCAATGGCATCGTGGCAGAAAGGCAAAAACATCCGCAGAAATGAGGGGCAGATTTCATTCATCTTTATATTGTAGGCTGTATTAAGATTTGATACACATCCGTCTTTCTTTGGAATTAGTACTCAGATGTTCCCTTAGCCTGACTACAAAAAGGAGGCATTTGCTATATAATTTTTTAAATGTGTGTCTTCACCAGCTTGTCTTCATTTTTCCCCCTCCCACTATTCATTCCACTTCAAGTATCTCACTTTGCACATGTGTTAAGGTACAACTAAACGATCAGCTTCTAAAAGATGTAAGAATAAAAGAAAGACATAATCAAAATACTTCCAGCTTTTTCTTGTCTCGGTGTCATCTGTGACATTTTGTTATTTCCAAAGTATTATTATTATTATTATTATTATTATTATTCAGTCTGCACTGTTTGTGCCTCTTGTTACAAGATCATCTTGCTCATTTCCCTTTCATCTCTTTAGAGTCCAATTTGTGGTCCATGAAGCTGAACAGGTTTTAAATGTTTAATTATTACAGTGAGATTTGAGAGGTTTTCCAGAAAATGATCTTCACTAAAAAGTGATAAATTATAGGTGGAAGGTGTGTAGGTGTGTGTGTGCACGCGCACGCGCGCAGACACACAGACACATAAATTAGACATGATGACTTTTCAAATTCAAAAATTTTAACACTGACCTTTGATTACACCAAGGTACTTTTGCAGAAACAAACATTGCTCTTTAAAAAAAAACCCCCAAACCAAACCCTAGGTAAAAGTATACATTAAAAAGCAGCAAGAAATATCATATGAGACTAATTAAAACACACACAAAATGCCCATCTCTGTTGCTTTTGTGAAATCTTCTACAGTTCAAGCCAAATGAAAGTAAGGTGAGCCAATTAGAACACAAGTCACGTCTAAGTATTTCATTTTCCATGTCCTTCAGCATGATAGCCCACTGAATACCTTTTTAAAGCTCTGCCGTGACAACAGCAGGTTGAATATAATGAACAATGTTAAAAATGGGGATGCGCAACGACAAAGCTGGGGAATGAGAAATCGCCTGGAAAACCGACTGGCTGTAATTACTGAATGCCAGTTCTGTCTCAGTTGGCTTTTGAACAAAGGTAGGCGCCTTCAGCGACTTTTTCCTCGGCAAAAGAAAAAATGAAAGGAAGGAAAGATGCAAATATACACTGTCCCTGACCAAAGTCACTGTCTGCTTTCATTAAGTTCATATTTTTCCCCCTTTTAAGTTTTGAAGTCTGTGATATTTACAGAGGCATAGAACAAACACACAGCAATCAGTTATCTTTAATGCTGAACGTGAAAACTACAGGTAGAAGACCAAAGCCGTGGTTTTGAGGGTTTAGCTCAGACCAGCAGAAGTTGTGACTTACCCAAGTCAAGCACAACCATTAGTTCGGTCTAGTGGAGTTCTGTACATGTGGAGGCCACATCACACAGCTGCTAGGCTGTGCTTGGTAGTTACAAGTTGCCAGACACAAGTGGCAGAGGCCTGGTTTATTGAGAACAACTCTGCTTTGATGACTCTCACATTGTCCCCCACTGTGGATTTATGCATTCAAAAACATCTATAACACTCAAAGTACCATCTATCCATGGGTTGGGGGTCTTCAGGAAGAACAACCAGCAGGTACCGCTACTGCAGCGAAAAGACCAAGTGAATGTTGCTGGTTCACAAGGGAATGCAATTAGTATTCTGGCACACATACTAGAAGCTGCTAGTAAGATACAGAATGCAACGCAAATACTCCAGGAATTGTCAGATGTGAGGCTTAACATGGCAGACCCTCCAAGTGGCCCTATTTTCCAGGGACAGTCCTGGATTTACAGAAGCCATCCCAGTTTCTGATTTGATCCTGGAATGTCCCACTTTTCCTAAGGACGTCCGTATTTTCATCAGAGAAATGTTGGCGGGTATGGAGTTTTGCGATCCCCGAGCCAAGATGTATTTTTATTAATCGTACCTTCTTTGCCCCTGCACCATTCCTTCTGAAATTTTGTGGGTTAGAAGCACCTCTTTGCTGTATGATAGTTTTGCATGCAAATTGCCCCCCGAAATCACACACGAGAAAGCAAATTTCTTCAGTTCTACCCCCGCAAACATACAAGAGCAATCTTAAAAGATGGCTAGCACAAAAACCTTGCACTTACAACTTGAAATTTGGGGGGTTTCTTATCTTGGGGCACCTTTAAGATGCAACATGTTCAAACAAATTGCACACAAAACAACAGGGACATCAAGTGAATCATTTCTTGAAAAAGAAACAAGGTTTATTATGGCTACCCTTGCGGGGGAAATCCTGCCCCTATCCTTTTGAAATACAGTGGTACCTCAGGTTACATACGCTTCAGGTTACAGACTCCGCTAACCCAGAAATAGTGCTTCAGGTTAAGAACTTTGCTTCAGGATGGGAAATCATGCTCCGGCGGCACGGCAGCAGCAGGAGGCCCCATTAGCTAAAGTGGTGCTTCAGGTTAAGAACAGTTTCAGGTTAAGTACGGACCTCCGGAACGAATTAAGTGCTTAACCTGAGGTACCATTGTATATACCCCACTTCAAATGCCTACAAGTTTTATTCAATTCTGCCAAAAAGTAAAGAGGTTATCATTATTTTTAAAATTACCTCCCAAAAGAGAATGAAGAGACACAGAGCTTTGTTTTTCTGATTAAGACCCAAGGTGAAGTGGAAGCTTCTGAATTCACCTGAGTCTATTTGGGATACTTTCTGAATCTGGGTCTGAACTGGATCTTGTGTTTGATGCACAGCCCTAATAGAAAGCATGAGAAAAACTGTTTTAAGGAGGCAGGTGAAACAATGTGAGCTACTCGTCTTTTGCAACTTAAAAAAAAAAAAAAACCAACCAAAATCCAAGAATGAGATGGATCTACACGTTAGGAAAACAGTGGGTTGGGTTTTGTGCGACCATTTGTCACAGATTTGTTTGTTTTTAATATGACCTGTTTCTTGGACTCTGTCAGAATAGCATGAGGCACAGATTTGAAGAGGACAGCACATTCTGTTTTACACTTTATGTCTTACTTCCCCCGTATTCTAGTGCTTAACAAAATGACTTCAACCACCACCTGTTTCAATGTTTTATTCATAAATCTTTCATCTTTATTTTTAAAAAGTTTCAGTTGCCTAGCTTAGAGGTACAAAACTAAAAAGAAGAAATGTTTGGATGTGTAAATTGCAGGACAGATTCTCACTGCAGTTATGTTGTAGGCAACTATATTTCTGATGCATTTTTTTTCTATTTTACTTTGTACTGTAGGACAAAGAAAGATACATAAAGGGTGGTTATAACAACAAAGTGGGAGGACCCATGTGATGTTTGACTCTCTCTTTTTTTACCCAGGTCCGTGCATGTTCATATGTGCACTTGCAGAGACAGCTATGTGCAGTGGGTGTTACCCCACATCTCTCGCTGGCTGAGTTTCAAAAATATAATTATAGTCCCATTCGCTCAATCCAGGCTTGGTGTGCTAGCTCTATAATAATGGCCAGTCAGGCTGTTTTTACCTTACATAACATTGTTGTTCATTTTCAGTCAGTGAGAAGCACCTGTTGGCAACTGTCTCCAGTCCCAGTGGTCCCAGAGGGGAACCCACTATCCCAGCTAAGGTCTACAATGTGAACTCCTAGAGAAAGCGGTTTCCACAATGAGCCTCAAATGGTCATGATACAGTTGAGGGGAAGTGTGTGTGTGTGTGTGTGTGTGTGTGTGTGTGTGTGAGAGAGAGAGAGAGAGAGAGAGAGAGAATGGCAAAGGCAGTCAGCTATCAAAAGCTTTTGACACCTTCCTGTTCCTCATATATCTCCTGCTATCACTGATCCTCCACCTCCCATTGTGTGTTTCGCTGTTGTCTCCTCTCCCTGCTTCTCCCCTTGCATGCTTATGCCAAATTTCCTTTATCCCATGCCACCTCCAGCGGAGTATACAGTTCAGTCTGCATCCATTTAACAGATGCAGCAGTATTTGTTGAAAAATGTGTATTTAGAGCTTCACAGGTGCACAGGTGTGCACGGATAAGTTGTGTCAAACACACACAAATTAATATCACGGTCATCAATACGACCATTTAGCTGATGAGAATAAAATGGAGGATAAAACTTGCTTCCCACAGATCCACTGTAAGGTCTTGGGGAAGGGGAAGGAGGTTGGGAAAGGGCTGCCCAAGCAGTTCTGCTAGATCCAAACCACTCCCACCAGAATTATAATAGTACCACACCACTGGTTATATGGACAGCAGCAGGAAAAGTAGACTTAAACCTAGCCTGGAAAATCCTAGAATAAAGGGTCAGAAGGAGTGGTATCATGTTGTATTGCAAGGAGGTAAGAAGCAGTAGAACTGATTTGAAAAAAACCTATTCTAGATCAGCAGTTAACATCACCTGAAAGGTGAACTTTACCTGCTGAGAAGGTTCATATAACTGTGGTGGCTGGTGTCCCATGGGACTGGTGGGGTGGAAGGCAGTGGAACCACCAGTAGATGGAGCCAGAACCAATAACACACAAAGTCAACTAGTTCCAGTTTTGTCCCTCACAATACAAGGGGCAAATGGAAGGTGCTGGCCCCAGGACTGGATGCAAGTAAGAAGGGAGGCAGGTGGGGGCTGGCTAACGACAGACTGAGCAGACCCTCCAAACATCCCTAGAATCATAGAATCATAGAATCATAGAGTTGGAAGAGACCACAAGGGCCATCGAGTCCAACCCCCTGCCAAGCAGGAAACACCATCAGAGCACTCCTGACATATGGTTGTCAAGCCTCTGCTTAAAGACCTCCAAAGAAGTAGACTCCACCACACTCCTTGGCAGCAAATTCCACTGTCGAACAGCTCTTACTGTCAGGAAGTTCTTCCTAATGTTTAGGTGGAATCTTCTTTCTTGTAGTTTGGATCCATTGCTCCGTGTCCGCTTCTCTGGAGCAGCAGAAAACAACCTTTCTCCCTCCTCTATGTGACATCCTTTTATATATTTGAACATGGCTATCATATCACCCCTTAACCTCCTCTTCTCCAGGCTAAACATGCCCAGCTCCCTTAGCCGTTCCTCATAAGGCATCGTTTCCAGGCCTTTGACCATTTTGGTTGCCCTCCTCTGGACACGTTCCAGTTTGTCAGTGTCCTTCTTGTACTGTGGTGCCCAGAACTGGACACAGTACTCCAGGTGAGGTCTGACCAGAGCAGAATACAGTGGCACTATTACTTCCCTTGATCTAGATGCTATACTCCTATTGATGCAGCCCAGAATTGCATTGGCTTTTTAGCTGCCGCGTCACACTGTTGGCTCATGTCAAGTTTGTGGTCAACCAAGACTCCTAGATCCTTTTCACATGTACTGCTCTCAAGCCAGGTGTCACCCATCTTGTATTTGTGCCTCTCATTTTTTTGCCCAAGTGCAATACTTTACATTTCTCCCTGTTAAAATTCATCTTGTTTGTTTTGGCCCAGTTCTCTAATCTGTCAAGGTCGTTTTGAAGTGTGATCCTGTCCTCTGGGGTGTTAGCCACCCCTCCCAGTTTGGTGTCATCTGCAAATTTGATCAGGATGCCCTTGAGTCCATCATCCAAGTCGCTGATAAAGATGTTGAATAAGACCGGGCCCAAGACAGAACCCTGTGGCACCCCACTAGTCACTCTTCTCCAGGATGAAGAGGAACCATTGATGAGCACCCTTTGGGTTCGGTCAGTGAGCCAGTTACAAATCCACTGAGTGGTAGCATAGTCAAGACCGCATTTTACCAGCTTCTTTACAAGAATATCATTGGGCACCTTGTCAAATGCCTTGCTGAAATCAAGGTAGGCTACATCCACTGCTTTCCCTTCATCTACCAGGATTGTAATTCTGTCAAAAAACGAGATCAGGTTAGTCTGACATGACTTATTTTTCAGAAATCCATGCTGACTATTGGTGATCACAGCATTCCTTTCTAGGTGCTCACAGACTGTTTGCTTAATGATCTGCTCCAGAATCTTCCCTGGTATTGATGTCAGACTGACTGGGCGGTAATTATTTGGGTCCTCTCTTTTCCCCTTTTGAAAATAGGGACAACATTTGCCCTCCTCCAGTCTGCCGGGACTTCGCCTGTTCTC